CTTAACATAAGTAAACAAAAGTGCTGGAAACAAAACAAAATTTAAAAATACAGTGAAAACATATTAAGTAACACTTTACTATTCTCTACTTCATAATAGTATCTGTTTAACAGCATGCTAAGCGAGTTGTTATTTACTAATAATTTGCAAAATTTTTGTTACCGTTATACCTTTATAGTGTACACCCTGTTTTTTACATCTGAAATATTTCCTTCTACTATTCTGACAAATTTATTGTTGTGTTTTCAGACTCAGAATGTAGGCTGGGCACAGTAGCTCACACCTGTTATCCCAGCACTTTGGAAGGCCCAGGTGGGATAACTGCTTAAAGCAAGGAGTTTAAGACCAGCCTGGAGACCATAGTGAAATCCTGACTCTATAGAAAATTTGCCAGACATGGTGGTATGTGCCTGTAGTACCAGCTATTCAAGAATTTGAGGCAAGAGGATCCCTTAAGCCCAGGAGCTTCAGTTTGCAGTGAGTCTCGATCATGCCATTGCAGTCCACCCTGGGTGACAGATTAAGAACTTGTTTCCAAAAACAGAAAAAGAAAAAAGGCTCAAAATGCTATGTGAAGTCCTCCTTGAATCTGGCTTTCTCCACATACACAGGCTCTCCTTCCTTGGGGCTCCCTTAGTACTTTGTCCATTTTTCTAGTGTCACTTCACCATCTGAACTGCACATCATGTCTTTGCATGTCTATCCCCTTTGTTGCCAGACTGTAGCAGTCATCTTTGTATAAACAGTCTTTATTTTACTAAATATTTATTGAGTTCCTGCTAAGTGGTAGGCACTGGGGTTTAAAGAATGAGAATAAAAGCTGTCAGGAATGGCTTTTGGAGAAAACATGCCTGGACTGAGACTTAGACAGTGAGGTTCACCAGATTAAAAGAGGCAGAGGGCAGGAAAGATAGTACATGCCAGGCAGTGGCAAGAGAGGGAGAGAAGCCTCCCAGAGTGTATGTATTTGTCTACATGAGAGGGACGGCGACGGGGGCATCACCAGCAGCTCAGTAATGCCAGGAAAAGAGGCAGACAGAGAAAGGGCTGCAGATGGAGATTTGGGCAGAAGCCAGTTTCTGAAAGCCTTATATAAACCAACTATTACTGTTGTTTCTGAAATTTTTTTAAAAAGCAAAACAAATTAGAAACGCATAATTCCAAGAAAAAGACCAACATTTTATTTTATTGTATCTTATTTTACTTGATTTTTTATCAGAGATGGGGTCTCACTCTGCCCCTCAGGCTATAGTATAATGTTGTTATCATAGCTAACTGCAGGTTCAAACTCCTTGGCTCAAGTAATTGTCCTGCTTCAGCTTCCCAAGTAGCTGAGATCACAGGGGCAGAACACCACACCCAACTACAGTTTTTAAAAAATAGACACGGGGTCTGGCAATGTTGCCCAGGCTGCTGGACCTCCTAGCCTCAAGGGATGCTTCTATCTCAGCCTCCAACACTGCCAAGATCACAGGCAGGAGCCACCATCCCTGGCAACACCAATATTTTCAAATGAATAAACTGGAGCTCCACCGTTTTATTTTATAATGGATGGGTGAAAACCTTGTAATAGACTCATGGACTCCATGGATTTGTGACAAGGAAACTATAGCATTAACTACGACTGAAGCTTCCCTTGTCTCCCCGTCTCTTCACATGGTTAAGAGTAGAGACACTCAAGTGTCTTACCTTTTGCAACTTCTTTTCCTTTTTTCAAATTTGCAGGCTTCACAGCTGCTGTTTCTGCCAAACATGCAAGCTTGTTAGATATTCCTTCTAGAAAACCTCATTCCTCTGCCTCCTTACCTGGCAAAGTTTCACTTATGCTGCAGGCTTCCCCTAAATCCTACCCATTTTTTTAGAAGCTTGCAGTCATCACCACAAATTTAAAACTGCATGGCATCTAATGAACATAATAAATTTCTAGTAAATAATAACTATATGCTCCCAGGTGACAACTATCCTCCATCTACCCTCTACAAAATGGGTCAGCACACTGCAGACCACAGGCCAAATCCTGCCTACCATAAGTTTTTTCTCAGTAAAGTTTTATGAGAGTACAGTCATGCCTATTCACTGACATGCTGCCTATGACTGCTTTCACACTACAATGGCAGGGTTGAGTAGCTACGACAGAGATCACATGGCCTTCAGCTGCTTAAATCGTTCTTGAAAAAGACAGAGAGAGAGAGAGGGAGAGAAAGAGAGAGAGAGAGAGACCCCATGGCCTAAAATATTTCCTATTTGGCCCTTTACAGAAAAAGCTTGCCAATCCCTGCTTTACACCCTGAACAGAATGCCCTAATTCTCAAATCGAATCTAACGCCTCCCCTGCTCACAATTTTCCAATGAATTTCTAGAGCAAACACTGCTGGCTCCCTACCCAGGAGCAGTTCCTTGTTGTTTCTTGCTGGAGAATCACAAATTTGGATATTTCTTATCCCAATACCCCTCCCCAGCTTCAAAAGGTAAGTGATTATTCAAAGCTAATCACATAACCACATTTGCTTTCCCAGTGCCTGGTTTAGGAATGAACATGTGGTGTGACCCAGCCAATAAAGTATTACAAAAAGGGCTGAGCACGGTGGCTCATGCCTGTAACCCCAGCACTTTGGGAGGCCGAGGTGGGCAGAACACGAGATCAAGAGACCGAGACCATCCTGGCCAACATGGTGAAACCCAGTCTCTACTAAAAATACAAAACTTACCTGGGCATGGTCGCACGTGCCTGTTGTCCCAGCTCCTTGGGAGGCTGAGGCAGGAGAATTGCTTGAACCCGGGAGGCGGAGGCTGCAGTGAGCCGAGATCGTGCCACTGGACTCCAGACTGGTGACAGAGCGAGACTACATTCCCGAAAAAAAAAAATTACAAAAAGTCCCCTGCAAGCTTCTGAGTTTTTTCTCAATTTAAAAGACACATGTGAAGAAAAGCAGCCCTTCCAGCCTTTAGATACTGTCTTGTGAGAACATGATGTTTGGAGCTGTTGCTAAGTAGCCAACCATGAAAGGAGACATGAACAAGACACTGTCAACAGCATAGCTGAAAGAGGAACACGTGGGATCCAATAATATCACCGGACAACCAAAACAAGCCTGGTTCTTATGGTTTGGCCACTGTTATGTCCTCTAGTATCTGCAGCCCAAAGCATTCTACCTCAGAAGTTTCCCCTGGCCTACAGGATAAGATCTACTCAGTTCTATACTATTAAAAGTCTTTTACTGGACTTGTTTCTAGACACAGGTAAACCAACAACAAAGTCTCTCCTAAGCCTGCCTTCACTGACACATACTAAACACGATAAATACGTAATAAATAATAACTGTAAGCTATTTTCACCTCATTACCAAGCTCTCCATATATATTTTTTTGCACTAGTAAATTTGAACTGCTCATAAACTCTACAAAGTTCACTCAGGTGTCCTATCTTTTGAACTTGCTCCTCGTGTTTTAAAACTTTCATTCCTCGTGGCTGCTGCTTCTGTCAAACATGCAAGCTTGTTAGATACTCCTTCTGCCAAGCATCATCCCTCTGCCTCCTTACCTGGCAAAGTTCCACCCACTCTGCATGCTTACCCTAAATCCTACCCACATTTTAGAAGCTTGCATTCATTACCACAAACATAAACGTGCTTGGCACATACTGAACATGATACATATGTAATAAATAATAACTATAAGCTCCCAGGTGACAATGGACATACAGTAAGCACTATTTAAGGTGGTAAATAAATAACAGCGGTAATAACAATCTCCTAACTGTATTTTTTAAATGTATTTTGTAACATTGGAAAAATGCTTAGTCTATAAAAGATATATGATAGTTATTTTTTAAGTGGACAAGTATATGAATGAATTAAAATATTTTTCTTAAAAAGTCTGTTAAAAAACACAAAAATTAAAGTTATCTATATTCTAATATTCTATTATGAGCACCTTAAAGACAAAAACTACGTCAATTCCATCTTTGTCTCGTGCATTTGCCAAACCTAACTTACAGAAGAGGTTTGATAAATATATACTAAATTAACGGTGTCTTTATACAGTTCAGACTGTACAACACATTACGTGTTATACTTTTGTTATTGTGAACCATTTTTATAATTTTATTATAATTTTAAAAAATTTTTTGAGCCTAGAGTTTGGCTATTGGAATATTTATTATGATCATCTCTTGCCTAATGGTTACCAGAGGTTTTTTTTTTGTTTTTTTTTTTGTTTGTTTTTTGAGATGGAATCTTGCTCAGTCACCCAGGCTGGAGTGCAGTGGCACGTTCTTAGCTCACTGCAATCTCCACCTCCAAGGTTCAAACAATTCTCCTGCCTCAGCGTCCCGAGTAGTTGGGAATATGGGTGCCCACCCCCATGCCTGGTTAATTTTTGTACTTTTAGTAAAGATAGGGTTTCACCATGTTGGCCAGGCTGGTCTCAAACTCCTGACGTCAAGTGATCTGCCTTCCTTGGCCTCCCAAGTGCTGGGATTACATGCATGAGCCACCACGCCCAGCCTGGTAACAGATTATCTTGTTCCAACAAAATTACTATTATTATAATTATCCAGCATATAAAAAAACACAGCTTGTTCTAAGAAGTGAATTTATCTCATGAGGTTCCAACTTATGGTGAATAAATTAAAAGTAGACCTTGTTTGTATAAGAATATGTAACATAATTTCTGCTTCTTGGGAAGGAATTACTTTTCTGTCTTCTGCATTCAGTAGGTATCTTCAGAAATAATCTCCTATTTGTATGGGTGCACAATGGCTCAGTTTTATGGTTCTTATTGCCATTTGTTTATGGTATCAGAAAGGGATTGTTGAATTCCCAGTTCTAAAGACAGTTACTTTCTTAGTGACACAGATTCCTGTGTAATGCAGTTGACCCTGAACAACAAGAGTTTCAACTGCAGGGGTCCACTTATATGCAGATTTTTCTTCAGCCTCTGCAACCCAGAGAGAGCAAAACCAACCATTTTCTTCCTCCTCAGCCAAATCAACCTGATGAGAAAGATGAAGACCTTTGGGAGGATTCACTTATGTTTATGAATAGTAAGTATATTTTTCTTTTCTATGATTTTCTTTATAACAGCTTCATTTCTCTTGCTTACTTTATTCTAAAAGCATAGTATATAACAATGCAACACATACCAATTATGTGTTCATCAACTGTTTATGTTATCAGTAAAGTTTCCAGTCAACAGTAGTCTATTAGTAATTAAGTTTGGAAGGAGTCCAAGTTATATTCAGATTTTCAACTGAACATGGATCAGAGTCCCTAACCCCCACAATATTCAAGAATCAACTGTAATTAACATTTATTTACTATATATAAACCATTTACTATAAAAATTAAATAGAAGATCCATTTGCATAACAAGTCCAATTTGTAACAATGTAATTATAGAGGAAATCGCAACATATTAACTTAAAAATCTAATTTCTTACTTATATTAATACAAAAATATAATGTAGAATTTTAGGGATCATAGGTAAGTAAATGAATTTTTTTCAGACAATACTGTTTGAGATTGAGAATTAGCTAGAACTAACTTTTTAAATAACTCAATTCTAAACTAAAGAAATTAAATTAAAAAAATTATTATATATATAAATGTATATATTTTAAACTGCTCTTTTATGATTAAAAATATGTAATGTTATTTTTTTTTGTTTTCTTTGGAGATACAGCCTTGCTCTTTCATCCAGGCTGGAGTGCAGTGGTGCGATCTCAGCTCACTGCAACCTCAATTTCCCGGGTTCAAGTGATTCTCCTGCCTCAGCCTCCCAAGTAGCTCAGATTACAGGTGCCCGCCACCACGCCCAGCTAATTTTTGTATTTTTAGTAGAGATGGGGTTTCACAATGTTAGCCAGGCTGGTCTCAAAATCCTGACCTCAGGTGATCCACCCGCCTTGACTCCCCAAACTGCTGGGATTACAGGTGTGAGCCACCATGCCTGGCCTGTAATTTTGCTTTCTGAAAATCAGTAAGATCACCAAGAGACATGAGAAATTTACTATCAGAAGTCTTACCTTGATTGTCATTTCGAAGATGATTTTTAAGCATCTTATTTTTATGTTCCAAAATTTGTTGTTGAATGCTATGCATAATAAATGTAACAAAATTAGTATTTTAATAGTGATATGAAAAATAATTACCAAACATATTAAATTCTTAAAGCATTTCAGACAATATCAGAGCTAATATCAGAACTCTAATGTCCAATACACTTTAACATTTTAAGCTCTATAAACTTGTTAAGCTTCTAATTAAAGAAGAAAAACAGAAAGTACACATAAACTGAGAAAAGCATAGCTCAGTAAATTAATTTTAGTTAGCTTAACAGCCTGGAAACTGCCCTGCACTCAGAGTAAGTCCTTGCTCTGTGACCAATAGGTATTTCGTTTTCAGACCAGTTGCTTCTCTTAGGCGCCACGGCTTCTTCTAAAAAACAAAGATTTTACTACTTGACTTCACTAGGTTGTTAGGAGGATGTAATGAGGTAAAATGTTTAAATGTTCAGAGAAATAGTAAAGCAATGGAAAAATTTATTCTTGAGCTGCATTGCTGGAACAATTTTGGAATCTCAAATAAAACCTGATGGGTGTTTTTTCATAGGTTCTAATATTTAAATGTCATAGTTTTCAGAGAATGTTATTAAGTGCTAATTTTGCTTATTGGTTCTATTCATTGTGGCTTGTAGTTCAGAGCATTTTAGCTAGTTCATAACTTGTAACTAAATTTATATATAAATATATTATTATGTCATTAAAACATATAACCTAATTGTCCCCTATTACTGAGCTCATCAATCACACCAAGGGCAGAAAACTAATAGATGTCAAAACCTGGCTGGGACAACTAACATTCCTTCCCTCCCTCCTCAAACTCAGAGCCAGCAGGTCTGTGTCAGAGGCTGCATCTTCTGGGTCCTCTCCGACTGACATACAAGACAAAGCCTTGCTTGTATTGTTTTTCAGTTCCATGAAAGAGATGCAAGTTGATGTTTCCTCATTTTCAAGTCATGTACTAACAACATATTTGCATGTAACATCCCATATGCCACTCAGCTGTGTTCTCATTTCACAGATCACCTTACATGAATACTTCTATAATGTTCATAATAACAATTTCCATATCAGGTGTCTCCTGTTTTGGTTTGACTCACATTGTTTCCTTGAAGCTAGTTAACAAATAGTCAAATGACCTTCTGGGGACTGTGCAACATGTGGAATGCTTTCTGAATTTGTGTGCCATCCTTAGGCAGCAGGCATGCTTATCTGTTCTGTATTGATCCAATTTTAGAATATGTGCTGCTGAAACAAGTATAAAGCCCTGTTTTATATATGGATATTCAAGAGTCATGGATGAGGCTTAGCTCTGTTAAATCCAAATTACCTACTTTAGATACAGAGAATTCTATTGAATGACTTCCTGTGAGGTAGAATTTTAAAATATTTTAAAAACTTGAGGTAGAGAGGCGAGTAGCCTGAGAGATTTTCATTATTATGGAAACACATTATTTGTGGGGCCAACTGCAAGTTGGTGCCCCCGATTCTATTGAAGGATAATGTGGAGCCTTTTACTTTCTAACAATAGCTGCTACACAGGACAGAAAAAAGCCTCAAGGTACAGATGTGACAACAAAAGGCAAAGGGACCTCGGCTCTCTTCCTGCAACATTATTTGAACATCCCTAACTGTTGAGTACAATCCAACTAATATTTGCTAGAGAAAAGATGGACATTGGTCTCAAAGGATAACATGCCATGAAGGTATAGGCTAAGCCTAGTCAGGAGGTGGGCTACAAGTAAGGTTTTTAGTATTAGTTAGAATGTCAATTTACTCACTGTGTGTGTGGGTAAAGCCAGGAGGACTTGCTGTCAGAGCAGGGTGCCGAGAACAATGGCTGAGCCTAAGTACATGAACTAAAAAACACTGTAGTTGTGGGCCGGGCATGGTGGCTCATGCCTGTAATCCCAGCACTTTGGGAGGCCAAGGCGGGTGGATTATGAGGTCAGGAGATCGAGACCATCCTGGCTAGCATGGTGAAACACCATCTCTACTAAAAATACAAAAAAAATTAGCCAGGCTTGGTGGCAGGTGCCTGTAGTCCCAGTTACTCAGGAGGCTGAGGCAGGAGAATGGCGTGAACCCAGGATGGGGAGCTTGCAGTGAGCCGAGATCACAACTCTGCTCTCCAGCCTGGGTGACTGAGCAAGACTCTGTCTCAAAACAAAAAACAAAAAACAAAAAACAAAACCCACTGTAGCCTAGCTAAGAGGTGGGCTACAGATAAGGTTTTTAGTGTTGGGGGAAGTTCAGTTTATTCACTATGTGTGTGGGTAAAGCCAGGAGGCCTCACTGCCAGAGCAGGGTGCTGGGAACAATGGCTGAGCCTATCTATGTACATGAACTAAAAAAGCACTGTAGCTGTGGACACTGTGTATGTGTCACCATGAAGAGAGAGGGATCTGAATCGGTAAGGGCATACTGGTGGCAAAAGTCAATCATTACCAGATTGCAGGACCAGTTACAATGGCAGCAATACAGCAAGTGAATCAATGGAAACAACAGAATGACTAGAACTGCCTTTCCCCCTCTTCTTCTGACTTGTAAAGCAAGATTGTCTTCCTTGGACTTAGGGAACCCCTTAGCTTTTTGAAAAATTCAAAGCAGGAAGGCATAGGAGATAGCCCCAGGGGATAATACAAGATTTTCTGCTAAACTGGACATTTCAAGATCCAATAACTAATTAGAAAAGTCAGGCCAGGCATGGTGGCTAGCAGTTTGTGAGGCCGAGGCAGAAGAATCACTTGAGCTCGGGAAGATCGGCAACATAGTCAGACCTTGTTCCAAAAAAAAAAATAAATAAATAAAAATAAAATAAAAAAATTAAAAAAGGAAAAGACGTGACATTATTTATATCTCACATATAAGGAGTATACTTGGAATAAAATAAACAACACTGAGATCCCTAGGAATAAAGGTCTTTAAAAGTCCTGAAAGAATCGTGCACTCATTGCTACTTCTAACTAGTCTAGCTTTCTGTTTGATTTCTGGCTAAAAAGTGGACTAACTAGTGGCCATTCCAAACTACCTCAACCAAACTATGAACTGTCACCTAATGTATAAGATGCAATATTTGTAATTATTTTAAGCCTTAATTTAGTGTTAACCAGTCTTTTCATATAAGCACGTACCTCCTCAAATCACAACAAACAGCATAATCCTCGGCAGTTTGGCCAAACATGTCTTGAGAAAAGATATTTACATTTTGTTGAAGGAGGAGGCTGATGATACTTGACGAGTTATGCTGCACAGCAAGCATGAGGGCTGTTCTAATATAAAGAAATAACAGCACTCAAGAACTTTAATAAAGATATTTAATTAGCAAATTGGATACACTTTACCAATTTCATATCTTGCCTGTCAGGATAGACATAATAACCATTTACATGTACTAGCTTATGTGTATAAGCATCTTGGGTGCTCAAGTGTTCATCTTGGTAAATTACCACCAAGGCTAAAAGGCAGGGACAACAAGGAAGCTTCTTGTCCCATTGAGGTATGACATAATACAAGTTACTAATTTATAGTCCTTTGATGGCCAAGAAACTGTGCTGAGGTCAGTCATCTAAAGTAGGCAAAGATTTACATGAAGATTTCCCCATTGCTTTTCTAGTCTGATATATTGTAATTCAAAGTCAGCTAGGGGTCAAATAAGTAAGAGCTATCGGCAGGCTGAAAACAACAGCAGCAACAACAACAACAACAACAACAACAATGGTAGTAGTTGTAAACTGAAAGTTAAAGTGTACACTTTATAAAATTAATAAAATACAAAACCCCTTTAGCTAATATAAGATTACAGAACTGAAAATATCAGATTACAAATAACAGTCTACAAGAGAAGATGAATCGTACTACATTGTCTTTTTTTACGTTGTTCAGTCCAAATAACTGCTTTTCTACCTAACTAATTATTTACTATACGCCAATAATTATAAGCTAAACTTATTAACATTTCTGACTTCCGTGACTGTTACCACTCTAGAACACTCAGGTTTTTAGGAAATAAACAAACAAACAAACAAAAAAACAAGCAAAAAACCCAAAAACGATTGCACCTTCTGTAATTGTCAACAGCATGTATATTTGCCTGGTTCTTCAATAAAAATTCCACCATTTGCTGTCTCTTAGAATTTATAGCAAACAAAAGTGGAGTGTTTCCTTCCTGTAAGAAAGCAAAAACAACTTATATTTCACAAAATTATGTATATCTCAACTGAACTAAAAATCTTCTATAAGATGCTATGAACTTAAACATGCAATAAAGAAAGAAAGTAAACGCAAAGCAGTCCTTTCCTTTTCACTCCTCTGTGCTTTCCCACACACTGCCTTGCAAACACCTCTCCTCTGCCTCCCCATGCTAACTTCAGTCACCTCCAAAACTCACTTTATTTACCAGCCCCCAAAACCCTTGCTTCTATCTCAGCATTTAGCACAGTACATTGTAATTATTTCATTGTTTCCCACTGAAACCAAGAGCTTCTTGAGGGCAAGGGCTGTATCTTTTTTCTCTGTAACCCTAAAACCTAAGATATAGTAGCAAATACTTTAAGTTTTTAAAATAAATTAATGATCTAAATTATTATCTCTAGAGCAGTATTTCTTAAGCTATATTCTAAAGAATATTTGTTTTACCAGAAGAACTGTACCCTAACAAAAAGATTCCATGATCATCTGCATTTGAGAAGTATTACAAAACTGTATTATATGGCCAACAATCTAGAAATTCCTTGAACTTTGCCTAATCTCAACTTGACAATATTTTTTATGGCAAACATTAACATTTTAGGAACTAAAATTGCAGGGATACAGTTGCCAGAGCTTCCCAGTACAATTGGAGATTTCCTCTGGGTGGCACAAACTTGCTTGACTTAGTTCTATCAATGGTGTCAGGATGCCAATATCAGGCACTCCTCATCCAAAGGGATCACCAAGGAAATGAGCTCTGAATTAAAAGAGATTGCCTTCAAATGCACTTATTTTCCTTATCATTAAATAGTCCATGGGATTTTTCCTAATACAAGAGGATAAAATTTTATCTTAACTATTAGAAAGCTCTGTATGTTCTATATAAGAAAGACCGGTTAAAACTTTTTGAAAATAAATATTAAAAAGCAAAGGTCAGTAAGAAATTCTATTCTCAATTATAATGATAATCCTGGGATGCTAATGCAACTTTACTTTTTAAATCCATTTGTATTGGTTTCCATTTAAATTGCTATTTAACATTTTTTTTTTTTTTTTTTACTTTAGGCAAAATATAAGTCAGAAATAAAAATACAACGGCTTATCAATAAAAGTTCTAATACTGATGTATAGGGCTTATTTCGAGCATAATAAAAGCCAATAGGTCACTTGCATTTTTAAGGGACATTGCTGAGAAGAAAGATATAATGTCTGCAATATTTATAATCTATCCACTTCTCAGCAGGAATGACCTAAAAAGGCTTCTAGGCATTCTCATGAGCAGATGACTATTTGTGGTATATATATTTAAAAAGAGTTAAAAAAACTTCTGAATTCTAAAATTCAAGTCTATAATTGAGGGATTTATATAAACTATAGACTATATATTATGAACCAATATATGCTGTTTTGAAAACCTCAAAATCGTTATGGAAATATACTATAAAAAAGGAATTGTAAACTCAAATACTTATAAAGATGAAGGAGTTACCTAAGTAAGTGAAGTACTCAGGTGGGCACAGTAGGAAACTGAAGAATATGTGCCTCCTACACAGGACAACGTCTGCACAGCAGACCAAGCAGTGATGCGGGTCAGGGGACACCAGATTTGATTCTTAAGCCCGAGGTCCATATTTCTGCATGAGTCTACTAAATTTAACATGTTGACTCAATTTAAAGAGGCAAAGAAAAAATCTGTGTGCCACATTTAGACTCTAGTCCTTGTGTTTTTATATTTGCTATGAATGTGTTACTAAATGATTGTGTATAAACCAAGTATTTGCAAGTGGAACTTTTTCTTTCTCTAGTATCATATGTTTAATAAAAAAACTCAGGCCCTGACATATACATAATAAAAATTGCTGTTAAGACTCATAATACCCACCTCAAGAATTTTCCCAACATTTATTCATTTTTCAATCTATGTGTATATCATTTTCCCAGATTGCTAACCAAATAGATAATTAGTTCATAGGACTGCGGAAACTGAATTATTAAAAGAATTCCTATTGTATTCTCACTGACTTCAAGGATTTCAGTGTTTAAAACTGACATCCTGATTATGCCAAAGCTCTATAAACTTAAGAGACACACTGAGATAGTCCCTAATACAACTTCAACTGAAAAAAAAAAAAGGGGTTCAGGATTTGCTACTAATCTAATTGAGAAAATCTCACTTGTAATGAACATTTGTTGACACATAATCACTAGAATGGTGACAGAGGAACATGAAATTGTGAAAGGGTCAGCCTCTACTTACTGAAAGATTACCCACAAGCAAATTGCTGAAGACTCTCTGAATGGCAGTGAATGATTCATGGTGGGAAGGAAAGAGTGTTATTCTGTGAGCTGAGAGCTGTTGCCAATGATATTTCCTTTCACTTCCCAGTCACAAACATAGAGAAAGACAGATAAGTCAGGCTAATGTTATTGGAAAGGAGAACTTTGAAGAAAGTAGCACCTATCAAATGCCAACTCTTTTAGAGATTTCTTATGTCTTTGAGATACGGGAATTTACATACTGCACTTATCTATTCTGTGCTTCTTCATCAGGAGTGTATTTGAACGCTGAGGTATTTGTTTTTCTCTTGCTGTTGTAAGAGACAAGAGTCTTACTATGTTTCTCAGGCTGAACTCAAACTCCTAGACTCAAGCAATCCTCCCACCTCAGCCTCCTGAGTAGCTGGGACTACCGGAACATGCCACCGTGCGTAGCTTCAGACAAATATTTTTAACTGTACATGTTCAGAACTTATTAGATCTATTACATCAAAATCCTCAGGGGGAAAGCCTACACAGGTAGACTTTTAACAAAATTTCCCCAGGTCACCGTAACGCACAATTCTAGCTGAGAATTACCACAGCAGACAATCACTTCAGTTTCATCTCTCACCCACACGGCCAGTATCCTTTATCAGGTTGGGATGTGGCCAGAAAGAGAAAAAAGTATGAGATAGTTATTTATGAAAACTACAGTTAATTTTCCTGGATGTGGGTATAACAGGGACAAGTAAACTCAGAATCCCAGTTGATTTTGCTATTTATAAGCTCCTTATCTCCCACCTTCCCACCAAAACATTCTAGATTTAAAAGGAGAGTTTAGACTCTTATCTAAGTGGCTGTTTTTGCCAGGATGGGTAATAAGTTAGTTACTAACTTGTTCCACCCTTTGCTGAAGTGTTTCTCACTTCATCACCATCTACTCACTACCAATCTGGTTTCCTCAGAGTCCTCTAAGAATTAATCTTCATGCAAGTTTCAATCTCTCTTTTTACCAAACCAAAAATGATTACCCCAAAGCTGAAGAGCATGTTGTCTCAATACATCAACTGGAAAAACAAACTAAAAAACAAAACCTCTTCTTGGCATTTTCCCTCATTACCTAATTTCCAAGTGACCTGCATGTTTTCGATTACTCTCCTTTCCCCTTCTAATTTTTCCCTCCTAAACCTTGCCAATGAAAGATACATCAAGTGTTTTTTTTTTTTTTAGAAAACTGTTAGCAGCAACAAGACTTCCATTTATTGTAAGTTGCTTTAGTTTTGAGTTTTAAGATAAGGCCTCTTTCCAGAGTAATTTTTTTCCTGTGATTTTTTAATACTAATTAGAAAAAAAATACACCTCGGGTAGGAAACAAATACTTGAAGAGAAGTTTTACCTTAACAAATTCATAAATATTTCCCATAAGTGCATTAAAATAGCTGTGCCCTCTAATGCTTCTTTAAAATTATCAATATTTAAAGTAAAATTTTAGACAATTAAGTTATTTCAAAATGTTTTCATTCAGGAACACTTGAGTTCCAAATATGAAAAACTGACTCTTAACTATGTCAATGTTAAAACAAACATTTTGAAAAGAAAGTTGATTGATCTATACCTCATTTAGTGCTTCAATATTTGCACGGTGGGAAAGCAGTTTTTCTGCCAGCGAAGTCCCCTTGTTATACATAGCATAATGGAGAGCAGTGTTGCCGTAGATATCCTTAATGTTTGGATTGGCGCCACGTTCCAGGAGAATAATTGCACAAGCCTCTTCCTGGCAATGTACAGCCTATTCGTGTTAGGTAAAAAATTAGACTATAAATTCTAAGAATTCAAAATACATATTCCACAGGTTTCACCAACTAGTTATATTTAAATGAGATAAATTCATTTTAACTCTAAGTATTCAAATCGAATCCATTTCATGCTGAAAGAGTTGGCTACTACGTACCTTCATTAACGGTGTCCTGTTAAGTCTGTCATAGATGTCGATCTGGCATCTTCTCCTCAGCAAGAGAGTAACCACTTCTATATGGCCATGGACACAGGCAAAATGTAGAACAGTCCTATGAGAGTGAGAGGAGGTTTCAGGAAATTGCAGTGCAGTATCTCAAAACCTACCCTGGTTCATGTAATTGTAAACATTGAATAGCATGTTATTCCTCTGTCTTCAAAACAAATAATTTTCTTTTGAAGAAAATACAATATTTATTAGCTCTTACTGCTCCCTTCCTTAATGAAACAGCAGCCTATTTGGATAGAATAAGCTTGGTGTCTAGATTCAGTTCAACTATGGCTTGAGTTCTACTTTGAACTCAGTCACATACCAGCTATTGCTTAGACTTTCTGTGCCTCATTAATAAAATAAAGATGACAATGGCAGCTAGCTCACAGGACACCATTATGATGCTTAAATAATAATCTATGTAAAGCATTTAGAACCATTTCCAGAACAAACAACAACTCAATAACTGTTAGATTTTTGTTTGTTGAGACAGGGTCTTGCTCTGTTGCCCAGGCTGGAGTGCAATGGTGTATTTATACCTCACTGAAGCCTGGAACTCATAGGCTTAAGCAATCCTCCTGCCCCAGCCTCCTGAGTAGCTGGGACCACAGGAGTGCACCAGCATGATCAGCTAATTTTAAAAAAGTTTTTGTAGAGCAGGAATGTCACTTTGCTGCCCAGGCTGGTCTCAAACTCCTGGCATCATGGGAACTTACCACCTCAGCCTTCCAAAGTTCTGGAAGGACGGGTGTGAGCCGTGCACCCAGCCAGATGTTATAATTATTACTATTACTATTACTTAACAAAAACATTTTAGTTCAGTGAAATGATACAATTATTGCTTTTCTGCAGGATGATTTAAAGGTTAGGTCACATTTTAGTGTATATTGGAATGGCATTTATAATTCATAACTTTCTGTAGCTATAATTGGTAGCATTTAAAAATCATCTTACTAATATAGAAAATAGTAGGGTATCACACAATCCATGAGGTCTTACATTAAGTAGAATATGGTGTACACAGCAGGTCTAGGGCAGTTCTAGGCATCTAAGTGGCACTTAAATACATTTTAATTCCTAAAAGTACCATGGGGAAAGAGCACTGAACAACATGTTTTCTTTAAACAAATTATTTCTTACTTTGATTTTTAAAAATGTGAAGGTAAAGGAAGCTAATGATTGAGATGAACGGGTATGTCATTTTAGTCAACACTTAGATTTACAGAATATATGCAAATCAGACTTTCCAATGATTAATATTAGTATTTAAGACTGATACATTTTGAAAAGGGCAGTTAAAGGTTATCTCTTACTGTTTTCTACCATCAGAAATGCTTTTGCTTGAAAGGAGGGAGCAAAAGTTTCAATGAGATTAAGTCCTACAATTCCCACTTTAAATCTCTCACATTGCAGGAAGTCAGGGACATCAAACGGAGGGACCGGCTTGAGCCGTGGCAGAGGAACATAAATTGTGAAGATTTCAAGGACATTTATCATTTCCCTAATAATACTCTTATATTATTAATAATACTCTTATGCCTGTCTTTACTGCAATCTCTGAACATAAATTGTGAAGATTTCATTTTAATACGGACATTTACCAGTTCCCAAAATTAATACTTTTATAATTTCTTATACCTGTCTTACTTTAACCTCTTAATCCTGCTATTGTCGTAAGCTGAGGATGTACGTCACCTCAGGACCATTATTGTGTTAACTATACAAATTGATTGTAAAACGTGTGCTTGAACAATATGAAATCAGTGCACCTTGAAAAAGAACAGAATAACAGTGATTTTCAGGGAACAAGGGAAGACAACTATAAAGTCTGACTGCCTGTAGGGTCGGGCAAAATAGAGCCATATTTTTCTTCTGACATGTGATCTTTGTGACCTACTCCCTGTTTGTACACCCCTTCCCCTTTTGAAATCCTCAATGAAAACTTGCTGGTTTTGTGGCTCAGGTGGGCATCATGGACCTACCGACTTGTGATTTCATCCCCAGTGGCCCAGCTGTAAAATTCCTCTCTTTGTACTCTTTCTCTTTATTTCTCAAACCAACCGACACTTATGGAAAATAGAAAGAACCTACATTGAAATATTGGGGGCAGGTTCCCTTGATATCTGGTGCTCCAATGTGGTTTTAATTTTTCCTAAGTGCATGCGGGAACCCGATTCCCTTTGGTAGGTGTGGAGAAACGTTCATTGGTTCGGTCCACAGAAACGCTTGTTTGGCTCCCTGACGATTGGTGAGTTGTCTGTGTATTCTCCAGGGTAACTATGGGTCACGTGGAGTCTAAACATTATGCTTATCTCTGCTATATTAAACTCCTGTTGAAACCGGGAGGTGTTCACGTACCAATGGAAAATATGGTCACCCTATTCAGGACAGTGGAAGAACACTGTCCTTGGTTTCCTGAAAAGGGAATGCTAGATGTGGAACTATGAGATCGTGTTGGTGCAACATTCCGGGAACTGGTCCCAACAGGAAATTATGTTCCCATCACTGTTTGGGGTGATTGGACATTGGTATGTGCCATCCTTATGACATAACAATCCTGTGATCCCCTGCAGTTACCACAGCTTTCTGAATCTGGCGACCCTCTACTTCTTCCTCAGCTTACCTCTCCCACACAGCCTTCATTGTCTGCTCAGCCTCTCCCTTCGCCTACTCTTCCCCCACCTGACAATGTTGAGAATTCAATATCTAACTCCAGTGACTTTGTCTTAATGTCACCCCCTGATGATCTTATTTCTTTTCACGAAGAGCTGATACTTGAAACTCCCATGGCCCCGACTTGGACAGTCAGGGACCATATATATGCTAATTCTTCCCTCTTCAAACCTTTGCAGCATTTGCCTCTGGAGTCGCCTAATGGCTCCAGGACCAAACTACAATTTACCTGTAATTCTGCAGGCCCTCCCCCATCCATCGCAGCCCCTCACCCTCCTGTCATTTTGGTCCCTCAACTGGTCACTTTGCCATCCACTCAATCTGCTTCTCTGTACCCTTCTTCACACATGGATGCCAGTAATCGCTAGTATACTTCTGCCTCTTCTGCTCCTCTAATGCCCCTTTCTCACACTCTCATACCTGTCCAACCTCCTCAACCTCAGTTTCCCTTATCTACACATGCTTTTCCTGTCACTTCTATGCCAACTCCATCTCATGTGCCTGCTCTTGAAACTTCCATTCAATGCTTATTTTGCCAAAACGAAGAAACAAGTGGATTAAACGTGCAGGCTTATACAGTCGTGCTAGAACCTCCTGATGCTCACGGCCTACAAGTACATCAATATGTGCTGCTCAATTGTACCTTTTTAAAAGAATTCAAGGATGCTTGTACCCAGTATGGTCCTACTTCTTCATATGTTAAAATGGTATTATAGACTCTTTGTACTGATGTCATTTTGCTTCCTCTAGACTGGGACCTTTGGGCAAAAGCTGTTCTAACCCTGTCTCTGCATTTACAATTCTGTACCTGGTGGTCAGAGGAGGCCCATCTGCAGGCTCAGATAAATTGGGCTGATGGCATTCTAATTACCAAGGCTCAGCTCACAGGCTCTGATAATTACTCTGATACTTCTGCCCAATTAGGCTTTGATGCTGTCACCAAGGAACAAGTAACAAAGGTGTGTATGAGAGCTTGGGATAAATTATGCACCCCAGGCCAAGCTCTTGTTTCTTTTATTACTGTTAAACAGGGTCACAGTGAATTATATCCTGATTTTTTGGGCTAAATTACAAGATGTTGTTGAAAAATCTGTCTCTGATGAGTGTGCTCAAGGTATTCTCCTTCATATGTTAGCTTTTGAGAATGTGAACCATGAGTGTAAAATGGCCATGCATTCCATCCAACAACAAAATTTACCTGATCACGAGGTGTTCCCTGCATATATTAAAGCTTGTGAAGGCATTGGATCAGAGACCTACAAAGCTATTCTGTTAAAAACTTCAAAGTTTTTAACTTTGGAGCCAGCTCAACAAACACGGCCAAATGCTGCTGCTACTGTTTGCCCACCTTGTCGCAAAGGTAAACATTGGGCAAGTACTTGCTGCTCTAAGTATGATATAGATGGAAATCCCTTGCCACAGAACCACGGAAATGGGAAGCAGGGCCAGTCCCAGGCCCCAATATCAAATGGGACATCTCAGACTCAGACCAATGTTGCGTTTCCCCTTCAAGCGGTCCCAACGCAGCCCCCAGCACAAACAAATTTACCTACAGCTAATTCAGATGGGTCCCAGCCTCTTCTGTCTCAGTACAATGCTAGTCCACCTCCACAGTAGGGGGTGGGGTGGTCGATCTCTGTAGTACCATTCCTCTAAATTTACTACCTAATTCTTTGCCTTTAATTGTCCCCATGGGGTCACTGGCCCTTTATCTCAAGGTTCGGTGGGCCTGCTGTTAGGTAGGGCATCCACCTCTGCTAAAGGAATCAGCATTCATACTAGTCTCATGAATTCTGATTCCTCTGATGAGATTAAACTCATCGTGTCTGCCAAGGTTCCTGTTTCCATTTCAGCTGGTGAGTCAATTGCTCAATTACTTTTACTACCTAATGTTGTTTTAAACAAAGGAGACACGGGGCCCTGGGATGGGCTCTGGTTGTGAAAAGGCCGCTTATTGGATTAATGTAATTTCCAAACAATGGCCTACTTGCACCATATACATTCAAGGAAAAAAGTTTGAGGGCCTAGTAGACACTGGTGCTGATGTTTCTATTATTTCCTCTAATTTATGGCCTTCTTTCCGGCTTAAACAGCCTGCTAACATGGGACTAGAAGGTGTTGGAAAAGCTGATGAAGTTCACCAGAGCACATTTATCTTACCTTGCACTGACCCTGATGGTCAAAAGGGTGCAATTCAGCCTTATATCACGCCAATCCCCCTTAATCTTTGGGGTAGAGACGTGCTGGCACAATGGGGGGCTGAAATTAATATTCCACATAACTCTTATAGTGCTCCCAGTCAACATATAATGGAAAACATGGGGTTTGTTCCTGGATTCAGTCTCAGTCCAAAACATAACGGAATTACTAAACCTCTCTCAGTTACTG